AAAAAAAAAAAACACCCTGACAAATACAGCCAGGGAAGGACAGGAAGGGAGGGTTCTCTTGAACAAATGCCTGATAACAAAAATTATCACAATGGACTCTACAAGACCACAACCTCACCCTAAGGCCACTGCAACCTTACACAAAATACTTCTGCAAGGACATCTGCCCAGCAACTGTCTGTTCAACCTCAGACTGGCATCACCCTTGTTATTGATCCTTGTAGCCAAGGAAAATTATCCCACAGCAAATATGTAGTCCTCGTCACTGTTCCTTTAAAGACCTTTGTCTTCCTTTCCCTCGCTGAACATGTACATAGTTTACTATGGATGCATATTGCCATTGTAATGTTACACTCCCAATTAAATTCATTTTTCTTTTAGAGAGCCTCTCTCTGTTACTTAGTTTAACAGTACTATGGTTATATGAAATGTGAACACCACGAAAGCTGGGTGAAGGTATATGGAAGTTCTGCTCTATTTCTGCATGTCTAAAATCACTTCAAAATGAAAATTAAAAACATATTTACATGATGTAAATGTAGAATGTCTATATAACAAGGACCTTTTGTTTTGGAGAACTACTGTCAAGGAAAATTTAATTTTTAAAAATCTAGTGTTCAGAGAGGGTACTTCAAAATGTCCATGGAAAAACAGAATGGAAAGATACTACAAATCTTTCCGTGAACTTTCTGTGAAGTACACACAGACACAGAGAAAATGTCTACTGTGTACTGGGCTAGATACACGATCTTGTTTTAATTTTCAAAAAAACCTTATGTGGTGAATATTATTATTTCCATTCTAGACATATGTAAAATAAAGCTGGAAGGTTTTAAAACATTTTTTTAAACAAAGCCACACTGCAAGTAGGTGGTGGTGCTAGAATTCAAACCCCAGTCTATCAGGCTCCAAAACCCAAGGCTGCTCCAAAGTTACAGACATGGAACTGGACAACATCTACACTATGAAGAATCTCAAAAGATTGTAAGGTTCATTTTGATGGTATCCGAGTTTTGTAATTCAGTTAAGTGTTCCTTGCTTGAGGACCTTTCTATTAAAAACTTTAGTAGGAGCCATTGATGTGTAAGCATACTAGGCAGCAAATGAAAAAATGACTATGATTATCATAGATCATGTTGTAATTTTTAAGATTTGAACAAGTACAGACAACTTTTACTTTTTTATTTTACTACCAGCTCACATAATTGCAGAATGTTTGATAGTAAGAATGACCTCAGATCTTACCTC